AAACTCATTTTCATTAGTACATTTTCAAAAATTCACTATTCATAAACTCATTTTTTCTTAATAATGGTAGTCAAACAATGACTTAGTTTAATTTTCACGTGATAATCAATTAATTTCAAAATATTAAATTCAGCATTAAATATTCTTTAGGATCTAAGAATCTAATTCCAAAATCGATGCATTAGGTTGCAAACCCAAAATGGCTTTAAAGTTATGACGTAATTTCTGAATAAAAGAGAGGAAATTCTCCAATCAGATCTGTAATAAATCTGGGCTGTTACGCAGGTGTACCCAGTACCCGATTTCGCACATCTTGCGGAAACATCGGAGACTAATCTGAGGGCAGGAGAAACAGTAACCCAATATTTGATTTTGATTTTGAGGAACGCCGAAATCAATTATATAAGTTCCGATTCCGGTGTATATGGCGTACAGGAGGAGGCAGCAACAGCAAGTGGGTAGGTTTTCTACAACTCTAAGAGATGATGTTTCTGAAAGGTCCAACAACTTTAATTACGATTTTGTCCCTCCGCCGCCGCCGGAAGACAGTTCCTCGTCGTCCTCTTCTTCCTCGCTAGCTGCTAAAGCCATGAGAGCTTCATCGGCTTATCAGGATTCATCACTTTCTTCGGCATACGGACAGTCCGCTCTCCCTTCTCCTCGGGAATCAATTCCAGTTCGGTCCTCCTCTCCTTCCTCTAATAAGGTTTTTCTATTGCCTTTTCCCCGCTTAATTGTGATTTGTATGAAACATAGAGAATGGCTTAAAAGGTACTTGATTCTGTGAAAATCATTTTGAACATAAAGTAGTTTTTAGGAGGATTTTCATCAAAAGTTGTTACATTCTTCTAGATGTCAAGGTTTTGCAAAATTGACATATACTTGTGAACCCACGTTACCCACCCGAACGAATCAAGTTGGATGGAACCATACAAATTGACAGGTTGACTTTATCAGTCATGCAATTGTAATTTACCTAAGTGATTACCAAAGGAAATGAGAGCAGAAGATTACCTGTGTTTTACAATGTGTTAGATAGACAATACAAACTATACATTGCCAATGTTAATGCTGGGCGTTATACTATTAATAAAGAATTTAAATCATATAAAATATAAAAGACAATTCGAAATGTTAATGCTGCAATGTTAGTAATGATGATCAATTAGTCAAAAAATATTATAAGGAAACATATGAAGGGATTTGATGTCAATGTTAAATACTTATCATAACTAAATGTATTGGATTGACTGGTTCATCAAAAACTTTTTCTTTCACAGTAAATGTCATGGCCGCATTAGCAATTTCAAGCTTTTACTAACGGCGGAAAAAGGTTCAACGGATGGCATTGATTACTTAGTTATCGTCTAAGTATGCTTTGGGCTCCTAGATGAAGTAACATGTTTATTGGGTATCATACTGCCGTTTCTCCCTTGAGCATTTTAGGCATAGGCGCAGGTACTCAGGCTTATATCCAACTACTAGGGAACCATTGTCTGGGCTAAAAATTTTAATTTAACACTTTGGTATTCACCATAGCCTTTGAGGTTTATGCCTCAGCACCAGCATCAATTCAGATTATTATAAAGCACCCCAAAACCCAGCCCCTTGAGTGCTGAGGCTTATGCCTCAAGACTACGCCTCAGGTGGCTGAGGTGTGTACTCACTTGTGTTTGTGTTTTTGAGCATTTTATTAGCCTCTTGAGTGTCATTAGTGAGGCTTATGCCTCAAGACTACGCCTCGGGTGGCTGAGGTGTGTGCTCACTTGTGTTTGCGTTTTTGAGCATTTTATTACTGACCTCAAATTTTTAGCCCTTTTTTTTTTTGCCTAGAACATTTAATGGATGCTTTTATTTGTTTTTATGAGCTCACGCGGATGGAGAAGGAAAAGGGAAGGGGAAGAAAAATGCAACTTTGCAAGTGGAGGATGACAAGAAAGAATGAGAAAAAATTGATAGTGATGGATGATGATCAGTGAATCAAATAAATGATTCTTTTAAGGATTGTATTAGTTATGATAATATAGGAGATTTCTAAATTGTCTCTACTTCTAGAAATAGGTAACGATTTTTTTTTATTTTTTACAAATTTGAGAACTTATTATTTGCTACGTTATTATTATATTTTATATTTTGTAAGTTAAACTATTAATTTTGTTAATTTGTTTTATCATGGATTTTCTACATAGTTAATAGTTTATTATAAGCTTGTTTTTGTACTTCTATGATCTTTTGAATAATTTTTCCTGAATTATCTCAAGCATATGACTCGTAGAACACCTTAGTACCAATTGAGCATTTTGAAACGTCAGGTTTTTAACCTCTATTTCTACCGATGCTGCGAAACCTTTTAGTAGAGTTGTCATGTTGGGATACATCAGATGATACTCAAAGCATCAGAGGAAAATTACCGGTTAGTGTTTTAAGAATGCATTATAAATTCTTCCTAATTCAGCCCTGTGAGGGACCAGGATTCTGAGCTGTCATATTACTGAGGGAGACCACAGCCTATATTATGTTTTTTTTGTCACCATGATCCTCTCCGTTTCTCTCTTTCTCCCTTCATGTGTCTGCTCTTTAAGCCCCAGCCTAAAATTTTGTGACGTCACTTTCTTTCCTTCTCTAAACAAATGCCCGCCTCTTTCACCTTTCTCCTCTCATTTTTGACCAGTATTTGTTCAAAGGCTATTAATTATCCAGTTAGCGCAAATCAACCTACCATAGTTATTCTTTTCCTTTTCTACACAAATTCCCAACTCTTCCACCTTTCGTGTCCTCTCCATTTTGCCAAGTATTTTAAAAGTCTATTAATCATCTAGTTTAGCTTAAATCAACTTCATTATATAATTACAAATATGGTCTAGGCAAAATCTTTTTGTTTGCTTTTGACCATCTTATTCCAATAAGTGACATAGCAAATACAGGTTGATGAGATCACTCAACCCAATAAGAAACCTCCTGGGTATGATATGAGGACTAAATTGGTGGATAGGGTTTGGTGTCCTTTCACACTACCTGTTTTCATCCACCCATATTTACCTGAACCAACCTCATGCATTTGCCTTGTCGATTAAGTAGCATGGCACTTCTACATGACCCATTATATTCAAAGCATGCTTGAGTATCATTTTAATTTCAGAGTCAAAGGACACATTTTGTACTAATCAGGGTGTTTTATCAGTTCAATATAGAGAATCACTTTTTAGTTCAATTTTACTTATAATGTCGCAAGGAACTCTTATTCTCTTTATTGAGGTATTTCCAATTTATCTGATCTGAGAATTCAAACTTGGTTATGTTTGATATTTATGACTTACGTATTCTTCTGTTATTTCTAGAGCATAATGCTGCTTGTCAGTCTTCCATGCTAACCTGTATTCTGTTCTGTAGTAATATTTTTGTTATGGAAATATAGGAATCGCCCACTCATGAGTACGCATCAGTGAAAAACATGAATGAACCTAAGCAAGGATTTTGGGGAGTGCTGGCTAGGAAAGCTAAATCGATTGTTGAAGATGATAATACAGCTCAACCACATGAAACTCTGGGAAGAACAAAATTTCAGATGTCAGATAAATCATCTCAGAGTCAGGTAGCAGTTCTTGAATTAAATAGATTGCTCCTGTGAACAAATGCAAGAATTACAAGAGCTCCTTTTCGGGAATACTGGGTTGGTCCTGTATTTTCTACAGTTCGTACTTTCTAAAACTTCGCTCTCCCAATACTAGGAAAACTTCACTCTTACTTTCGATAAATGGCCAGCCCTTCCCACTTATTTCTCTACTATTAATTTATTGAAGGTTCTATTCTTAATTCTGGCAAACATTCTGTCTCAGAAGATTTATTAAGTTTTGTTTTCGACCATATAGTGGTTATTGTCTGTTTTGTGTCTGGAGATATTGAAAGCATATTCCATTTCTTCTATTCTTGTTCTTTCACTTACAGTACCATAACACATACAACTCTTCGCAAAGCCGTCGAAAGACAGACAGCCCATCACTACAAAAGGGACTAGATGCTATTGCATCGTCTCTCAATTACATTGGTGGAACAATTGGTAATGCTCTAGAGGTACGTTTCTTTATGATTTCTGTTCTGGAAATAGGTTAAATATGTTCTCATTTGCACTTTTTAAAGCAAATCTTGTTATGTGGTGGAGTTCTTCACACTAATGGATCATTTTAAATAATAAAGGGTACAACCATGTAGCTTCAATTTTTATTTCTGAAAGTACAGTGAATATATATATATATATATATATATATATATATATATATATATTTTTTTTTTTTTTTTTTTTTCCC